CCTTACACAGAGTTATTAGCTGCACTTGGAGCCCGTTCAACTGCAAATCTTGAGATTTCTGTCACACGAGGCAGCAACTGCTCCCATTGACACCTGGCCGCTTGCTGAGAGCCTGGGAAGGAGCCCAGGAGGAAAACGGTTGCTGCCACTCACTAAGGAAAACAAACAGCTTGTTTGTGCGTGTGGTTGGATGTTATTGCAAAGGGAGGTCTTGTGCCCGGCATCACCCTCAGAGCACAGCAAGCTGCTGTTGAGTCACGGAGGGTGCTCCAGGGAGGGAAGCATGAGCGGCTGCAGAAGCCTCTTTGATCCACCAGGAGAGCAATGCACGAGGGACACAGCAAGCAGAGGAGAAATCCTCCGCTGGGCTCTCGCTGCAGATGTGTCCTGGACTCCCAAGCTGGATTGAGCTGGACTGGAGTCACTGGCCAAGAGAAAAATGCAGGCAAATGCCACCCCAGCCCACACGTTCCCCCACAAGAAAGCAACTGTCCTTTGTGCTTTGCTGCCTGAGATGCCTGTGTGCTGTGGTTCGGCTGGCCCTGCTAAGACAGCACTATTAATGATGACAGTCTGAAAATCACTTTCAGAGACTTTATGACGATGTTGTTATTACTAACTTGCCAAATGAGTGCTTAGACATTTTGGAACATGTAGCCACACTCCCATGAGCCGCAGGAAACAGTCAGCTTCAAAGTATTTGCCTTAAGCTGAGGGACTCACACAAATACTATCTGTACAGCTCCAGTCAGTAAATTAATTGCTATCTGCTATGAAATTCTGCTGTACATCCTCAGCTTCTCTATCCATGGCAAGCCACTTCCTCAGTGCCTTACTCCTATTGATGCACTATGAGATGCTGACCTTCTCTTAGACAACTCTGCTTCTCCCATGCTCTGCCCTGCTGTGAGCCCTCGGTGGGGCAACGCCAGGCCCTGAGTGCTGTGTGTGGGAGAAATCCCCATTAGCTGCTGCATCACAGCCCTGCTCCTGTGCAGGGGACGGGAGGGGAGGGAATGGGATGCTCTCAAAGCATGCCCACAATGAATATGGATGGTCATCCATCAATGTGTTTTAAGCACATTACTTCTCTGTCAGAAAGGGAAAAAAAGAAAAAAGAAAAAAAAAAAAAAAAGGGAAAAAAAGAAAAGGAAAAAGAAAGAAAGGAAAGAAAAGACATATAAAATTAAGTTTGTGTCACTCATTTAACACTGCAATTTCCCCAGAGGATTATGCACCAAACAGAGATAGCAAGCTCATGAATATTAATCATTTCCCTGAATGCAATGCAGCCCTCCAAACAATAAGATTAGGGGAAAGTGCTATGCTTAATTTATGGATAATGGGAGAGGTAAAGGACAGAGCTCCCACAAAGGTAGGGCTCACAGCTGGAGGGAGAGGCCTCCAGGAGGAGGAGGGCAGATCCAGATTTGTGAGGGACCAAACAAGCTCTTGGGGCCAAGCAGCAGCAAAAGAAAAGGTGTTAACGGATCGCTGACAAATTAAAATCATACTTCTCTCCGAACAGCCGCTGTGACTAATGCTGCAAGCACGCCAGAAATCGGCGGCAAACTCAAGAGCTAAATTCGTTTCTTTTCTGTTTTCTTCCACTCTGTGCCTTCTCGTGGTGTTTCGCACCCCAAGTCCCAACCCAGTGCCCATGGAGATGTGTCTGACCCCACACCCTCCGCCAAAGGCAGCAGAAGTGCTGCCCCGCACTGCTGTACAAAGGCGTCAGCGAGGAGCCCTTCCAAGCAAAGGAGATAAAGTGCAGCAATAATAACACAGTAAGATGTGGTTCAAAACCCCATAAATTACCAGGCAAACTTACGGCTAGATAGAAGTTCTGCAGCCACTTTCCAGCTGGTTTGCAATGAGTCTATCAGTCTTTACTCATCTCTTTTCATATTACTCTCTCTCCCCCTCCCTTCTTTTTTATTGATCTCTGCATCTTTTCTATTATATCCTTCTCTTTCTTCAGCACTGGAGAGCTAAATCAATGCATAATGCACATCACACTCAACAAAAGGAATGCAAATGAAAGCAGCACTCTTTTTCAATGCACACACATATATCTGGAAGCATGTGCATGATGTTTGTGGGAGAGTGCACACCAAGGACGAGGTGCTCAGCTGCTTATTAGACACCCATTTCCCAACAGCCCGGTGGGAACAGATCGAGTGCTAAAAGGCTCTGGGTTTGCACAACTGCAAATCGTAACTCTTCCAAGTGGGATCTGTTTTGCATGGGATTTTGCTCAAGTTTGCTCAGCAATGCCAAAAACCAGGTGTCCTGGGTGAAACCACAAGCAAGGTGAAAGCAAAGCAGCCGGGAATAGGAGAGGGGTACGTCAGTCCCTGTGGTTCACTCCTATTCCATGAACCAAAAGGCAAAGTGAGGCCCCCGTGCAGGGCAGATATAAGATGCAAAATCTGCTCTGCAAGGAGGAGGGGGGGAGGAGGGTGGCAAAAAAAGAGTACAGGTGATAAATTTCAGCACGAGGATGGGCGAGCGTGCCGCAGAACTTCAAAATAAAGCAGCGCTGCCAGATGCTCCCATTAATTAATTAATTAATCTCGCTGTCGCTCTTCAGCATGTTGCAGGGAGAAGATGCTATTAATCTTATCTGTTTTCTTTGAGTCGGCTTTGTGTGCAGAGAAGGCCAGGACAACCTGACAGCAAAGACCACACAGTTTTGTCCCTGCCTCCCTCCCCCCTCGCCCCTCCTCCCAGCAGAGCAGATTGATCCGCTGTTATCTGATTAGAGAGGAGAGGAGGAGGGAAAACAAAACCAAGAAGAAGGAAATAAATGAAAAAAATAGCCTAATTTTATTACAGGCACTGGAGCAAAGTGTCTCGTGCCATTTATTCAAAGGAAAGTCAGACCAATAAAAAAAAACAACATTAACATCATGATCCTAAAAGGCAAAGGGACCAAACGAGAGAGGGACACCTGCAAACAGGCTGCCTCTGTCCATGGATGTCAGCACAGCTGGATGTCAGCCTGAGCCACGGGCTCCAGCACTGAGGCTGGAGCCAACTTTTAAGTTGGTCCTGCGTGGACCAAAGACCTCCAGGGATTCCCTCCAACCTCCACAACATTCACAAGATCAAACCCTACAGACCTGATTCTGCAAAGCCTCTGTACATGATGGGAGTCTCACTGAGTTCTTTGGTGAATAGGAGTGAAGGACAGTGCTGAGGCACTGGTGCAGGCTGCCCAGAAAAGTACTACGGCCAGTAGAGATGGAGCTTTGGGCACCTGCTCTGCTGGGAGGTGTTTGTGCCATCAGCAGGGGTTGGAACTCGATGGGCTTTAAGGTTCCTTCCAATCCGAACCATTCTGTGATTCCCAGGGCTCTAAAAACACGCACAGTGCAACAAGAACACTGCTGCATAAATAACAGTCTGAAATAATTCGTTGTTGTCCTACAAGATTATAACATGTATTTGCCTCATAAACATAGAAATAAATTATGCTTTATTTTCCTCTACTCCTCAAACAGGGACCCAAGCAGTCTGTATTTTCCAAGAAAACACCAGCCTCAAAGGAGACTTTTGTTTGGGTAAAGGCAGAGGACTCAGGGTTATATCCAAATATAAAGGTGGGCCATGGTCAAAGAACCAACCTGGACCAGGGAATTCAGACCCATGAGGGTGCACAGCTCCATCCCCAGCCCTTGCTGGAACCAATCTCGGGTCATGCCTGACTTTCCAAAAACCCAAAATGTTTGCATAAGTGTTTATTTCGCTTCCAAAATATTATGACTAATATATTTCAGTGCTTGAGGTCTAATTCAGCAACTTACTTGAAACACAAATGTCACTTCAAGACCACCAATAGTCACAATTAGCCCTGACCATAAATATTCTCAAATTTCAATAGAGCTATTTACATATGTAAATATGGAAATAAGTACATCACCGAATCAGGCCTCAAGTATGACTGTGTGGGATGCTGAAGTAAAAATGTGGTGGATGAGACAAGCAGTCCCCAGCTTACCACCCAAGGGAAACGTGTTGCCTGTGAGGTCCGTTATATGTTGTTCCAGCCACAAGAGATAATCATCAGATTGCCAAAAAGAGCAAATTTCAGTCTTGCCAACTTTGTATTAACTACTCAGGACTGATGCCCTGAGCTGAAGGCATTGGATCACAAGATGTGACAGACAGAGCATTCGCTTGGTTAGTCCAGATAAGGAATCCATAAACCTCTTGAGACTGATCCCTTACAAACATTAACTTTGGTTTCAGAAGGTCTGCATGTCTCATCCTTTCCCGGATCTCCAAGTCCTGTTTGGGAAATGCAATCCCCCAACGCAGGGCTGCCCAGCACAAGGTTCAGTGAGAACTGGTCTTTTCCCTTCTCTGCCCCCAGCATTCCTAGGGAGTTTAATAAATATGTAAAGCTCACAACCGCAGCCCTGCTATCCCAGATAGCCCGAGCATCTTCCGGCCATTGTGCTTACAGGTTTTGCTAATCAGAGCAAACCAGGCTTGCAAATGAAATCTGATTAAGTAGTTTTCACCTCTCAAAAAGGGGATTAGCCAGACCTTTGATCTTCAGATACTGATTTGCAACTCAAAGGAGGTGTGACCTCAGCTGGACTTGCTTCTGGTCTCAGCCCCTTCCCCTTTCACTCCTCCTCCTGTTTACCAGAAAAAAAATCAGTTCATGTCTTCTCACGTAGCCAGATCTAAAGCCTATTGAAGGCAGTGGAAAGCCACCCACTGACTTCAATGGGCTTTGGATCAGTCCCACAATGGCTGACTTAGCCCTAAGTCCTAGGTTGTTTCAAAGCCAGCAGAACCAATTTCCCATCAAAACGACCAGAAGCTGGGAAGATATGTTCGCCTTTCAAACCTACAAATTCCAACTTTTTTCCTTCTTCCATGACAACTCTTCAGCTGGAGATGCTGAAAATGCTGTTGATTTTTTCCTCGCGCCTTGCACAGAGCAGTTGCCCACCATAAGTGGGAAGGCTCTGAGCCAGACTTACCAATGCAATTAAAGGATAACTCCTGCAGGCAGAACAGGGAGCAGCCGTCACCATTGATCTTATTCATGTCATCACATTCTTCCCCCAGGTCTCTACAGGCAGGGCACAAACAAGAAAAATGAGTCAGATGGCAAATGGCATCATCCCAATGATCTGCAGAACCCCAAACGCCTGACATCCCATAGAGTGGCACTGTGTTCCAACCCTGGGCACTCCTCTCCCTTCTTTCTTCAGCTCCTACTTTCATCATTCCTGGTTCACAGACTTGCCTGGCCACTTCTCTCCTGCACATGTGGATACCACTTGCTGTTCTCTGATGAGGATATGAGCAACTTCCTTCATAGCTAGTGCGGCTGCAGCTCAGCAGGTGGGGAGAAAGAGAACAGGAATCTCTGAAACCCTTTGTATTAAATCTGGAAAGGCCAGTCTATGACCCCAGTATGGGAATAACAAGGTACAAAGCCCAGCGGAGCTATTCCAGGTGACAGCAGTCTGCAGGCACTGGGTGGTGTCAGGGATGGGGTCCTGCCTTGCTCCAGCCCACACTGTTGCTTGTTTATAGAGTGCAAACCAGATGAGAAAGAGGCTCCACAGCTGCAAGTGGGGACACAACCAAGCACACTGTGACACAGTCTGGTTCCTGCTCACTCGTGAGGCAGCTCAGCTATTGTTCGACGCTTGCTGCAAAGCCACAAGTGATGTTTGAGGAATGTGCAAACATAACAGTAGGAGAAAAGTTATGGAAAGCAAAATTAATCTGCCTTTCTCCACCTCTCTCTCCAAGACTGGCCTGGATTCATAACTCAATTGGCTGCTCTGTTTGATTTTCCTGCCTGTTGGGCCTCATCCTGCAAATACTTGCTGCCAGGTATATAATCTGACAGAGCTGTACTGGTGACTGCTGATCAATAACATTTCAAGACAACAATATTGGCTGGATTAAGCATTTGTTTGTTGTTACTTCTGTAATCACAATTAAATAATCTTATGCCACGAAGCTTAGAAGCAGGTGTCCCTAAAGTCCAACACAGTAAAAGAACAAACCTGAATGCAGTTGTGAATGACTGTTTTACACTTCCAGAGGTCTGGGGGCTGGCAGCTGCTGAGAGTGAGGAGCTTACTCAGTGTGCAACCCCCAGCAGCAAGTCCAACACTTCCAAGTGCACCCGAGTCCAACAGGAGGATGCATCAGGAACCCAACAGGCCACTTGGGGCTCTACCCTGTCCACCAGCTGCCAGGCACATGGGGCTTTGTGTGGAAGACGAAAGACAGTGGGAATTCTTCCAGCACAAGAGCTCCATGCAGGAAATGTCACATACATGCACACATAACAAACAGCACAAACAGCATACAGCATGCTTCATATCAATCCCACTGGACTCCACTGTCTGTATCTCTGTCTGTATCTACTGGTGCCAGGATCGCAGGGCCTAAGTTCCAATTAAACATCATCATCCTGGTAATCATCAAGCACATGAGTCATTATGTGCATATGAGAGGTAGCCTAAGCTAAAGAGACATCAGAGGTCATCACTTTCTTTCTGTGCTCAGATTGTGGCTGGGTAGATGTGCTCAGATGTATCTGTTTGCTCTTCCAGACTTACGTTTGGATAACTCCATCTCCACAGTACCCACTCCCAGAGACGTAGACAAGTGCTGGGGAGGGCTCACTCTGTTCTGCCCCGGAAACAACGATGACCTGGTAGGTGTACGTGGTGCTGTCGCTCAGCTCCCTGCAACACAAGAGGAAATATTGAGTGACAGCACATCAAAGGCAACGACAGAGGGCAGAGAAGGAGCTACTGCAATGAGGGCTGGCCAACAGAAAGCAAGTCCTGGCCCTCAGAACATTTTTTTTCATTTTGATGGGAATAATTTTTGGTTGGCTGCTTTTTTGTTTTGTGAGCCCCTAAGTCCACACTTGACTTACGCACAGCTCTGAGCACATGCAGGTGCAGCTCTTCATTATGGAATCACAGAATCATTAAGGTTCTGGGAAAGACCACTAAGATCACTGAGTCCAACCCCAATCCAACCCCACCACACTCACTAACCATACACCTCAGTGCCACATGTCCACGCTTCTTGAGCATCTCCAAGGATGGTGACTCCCTGGGCAGCTGTGCCAATGCCAGATCACCCTTTTCAAGACGAAATTTTCCCTAATGTCCAACCTGAACCTCCTGTGTTTGACTGCTAAACTACTTGCATGTTGCTGCTGATGTCCGTGCCTGCTGCACAAGTGGCATTGCCATAGCACTGACCCCAGCTGTGCACAGTGCTGAGTGGTCACAGCACTGCTGGCACCCAAAGAAGCAGCCATGGGCTCCGTTGTGCTCAGGGACATCCCTACCTGCAGCTCATGGCACAGATCACGTAAGGAACTCAAAACGCTCTGCAAACACTGATTACTTCCTCAACAGCTCAGTCCAGCTGCAGCTGCAGCCAGTGGGAATTTATCTATTGATCTCAGACAGAATTGGACTGGGGCTGTTTCTCTGATAGAGAAATATGTTACCTACTTTGTGTACAGTACTAAACCAGCAGAGTTAAAGGGAAGCTTTCTTCCTTTGCAGTAGAGTGCAAAAAATAGGATCCAAACCATTGTCCTGGATCACAGTATTAACATCTAAACAGTCACAAAAAGAATTACCAGACTGTTCCATGTTTATACATAGCCTTAACTGCTTAAATCCTGTGAATCTGTAAACAAGAAAGATTTTTTTATATATATAATACAGAAAAATATAAACCTAATATGAATATTTAGGTCTTTCATGGCATGTTTTATGTTAGCAGAACTTAAGATGTTTCACAAAGAAACTTGTTACTGTTTTCCTCATTGTGCTGATCTGCAAAGCCACAGAGCAGGGGAGATATTTATCCTCTATAGAGCACCAAGCCATTGAAGTAGGCATCAGTGGACTGAGGTCCAGGTTGGTGACATAACCATCTCCTTGCAACACTCATTAAATTAACAAGCACGACTTTAAGTCCAATACCACACGTTATATTTTACAACAAAGCTGCTTCTCATGCCTGCAGCATAACTACCACTGAATGAAACACAGGGGTTTGATTCTTTGCTACCACACTTTAAATTGTGGATAAAACTCAGTGGAACCAAAGCACATCACAAGTGTTTTCTTATTGATTCCTGTTGGCAATAGCCTGCAGTACTATTGGCTAAACTTGAGAGACCTCAGGTAGCATGAATCTCAATTTGTCTATGCTGGGGAGATATCTACTTAGTATTAGTGTGGTTGTTTAATGAGAGTGAAAATTATCCAACTTCTGCCCTAGTAATACCCTGTATAAAGCTGCCATGTGAGCCAACCAGAAAAAAATTACATGAAATAACTTCAATGGCCAAACACACCCCGATGTGTAACACTGAGGTTTTCACTCCTGGATAAATCCACTGATTAAGATCATGGTATCATTGAGGTTGGAGAGAACACCAGGATCACAAAGTCCAGCTATCAACCCTCCCTCACCATGCCCACTAACCCACGTCCCTCCGTGCCACGTCTACTCTTTTCCTCAACACCTCCAGGGTCAGTGACCCCACCACCCCCTGGGCATCCTGTGCCAATGCATCACCACCCCTTCTGAGAAGAAATTCCTCCTAATATCCAACACGAATATGGGAAGCATCTGATATACACTGATGAAACAAAAGCAGAGGCAAGCTTTGAATATTAAAGGCTAATTATCTCTCTAATTGTTTCTCAAAACCATTCATAAAATATTTAAGATTAACAAGGATATTTGTAGAAATTTAGATTTTGCCTCCGGATATCTTCCAACCACAAAAACGTTCAGTTCTTAGAAAAGCCTTGCTATTAATGAACCATCCAGGGAGCTGCAACAGCTACAAAATAAACAGATCAGCAGTGCTTTCTGATGTGCTGAAATCACGAAACACAAGCGCGAAACACCGACAGAAGTTTTCAAGTTGTGATTTTTGCACGTGATTTCCACCGGCAGGTGATGGACAGGCATCCAGCCAACAGCAAAAGTGCATCCCTGCAAGTGTGCCTGCGTGTGTGGGAGTGTTTGTGTGCGCTGGTGTGTTCATGGAAGCAAAGCAAAATCAAGGCAAAGTTCACATTTGTTTATGCACAGGGTGGGAAGTTGGCAGAACAGAATGGAAGAAGACACAGCACTAAATTAAGCACAGGAGAGAATATGGTGTTTATGAATTATTAGGTGATTGGAGATGGATGCGTATGTGGGTGAATACGACAGAAAACTGGAAATGAGAAGTTATTACGTGGGGAGAGCTCTGGTGTCTTTAATTATATTGACTGTGGATGTAAAATCTGGTATGCGGGGAGCATCCTGAGCGCGTCAGGGAGCGCTGACATCAGGCACTGGCAGCAGTGCTGCTCCATGCTGTCACCTGCAAGACAAGGGCTGCTCCAAGCAAGGATAAAAACAGGATTGGGGCCCTGGCTGCTGGTGGCATTGATGGTGACAGTGCTTCTTGCAGTGCCACCATCCACACCATGCCGCGTCGGGAGGTGAGATAGGAGAGCATCCTTAACACTGAGGATGTGAACAAACACTCGTTTAAATTTATATCTATGTTCTTTTAATGACCTTTTCGAGAACTGAGCGAGCCGCATTGATCGCTGCGGCTTCCGCCCATGGGGAGGCACTCGTATTAAAAAGCAATGACTCAAGTGCTCTGCTCAGAGGGGGAACTGGAGCGTGCTGTGCAGAATGGCACCAGGGCTCCTCGCCCGTCTGCTTGTGAAAGCAACAGATCCAGGATCAGAGATGTACAGCCCTCTCTCCCTTCTCCTGGTCATCCTGGGTATGGGGGGCAGTCACTCTGAACTTGAAGCATCCCATGGGCAATGGATTGCTGCTCTCCGATCGGGTATTTCTGTGCAACTTACAGGGAAAAACACCGCTGGGAAGCAGTTTTCTACTAAGACCAAGGTGGTTTTGAAGGATCACCAAATTCACAGGTACCCAGCTGTGCCCAGCCACACCTGCTCGATGCCCACGGCTGGGCTGCAGACTGAGTGCATAGAACCATAGAATTATCTGAGTTGGATGAGACCTTTAAAGGCCATCTGGTCCAAATCCCTCACTGAACAAGGGTACCTACAGCTCTATCAGTGCTCAGAGCCCCTTCAAGCCTGACCTGGAATGTCTCCAGGGATGGAGTATCCACCACTTCTCTGTGCCACTGCCTCACTAGGATGACAGCCCCTGAAAGCACCAAGGGAAAGCAGCAACCTGCTTCCCTCTTCCCACTACCATGGCACGTCTGCTACAAATAATAGCAGGAAATTGTTGTTTTGTTTTTTTTTTTTTAGCACAACAAATTCCTCTTTTCAACAAAACTGAAAATATCCAAAAGGCTTATCCCACTTTCTGTCCTACGAAAACAGAAATGGCCATAAGCAATGAAAGAAGACAGTGTTCCTGTTATTTAAGGACGAAATGACAAGGTCTTAGGCATCTCCAGTTAAACTATGGCTGTCAGAGGTTCTGTTACGTGAAACAGACACATCCTGCACCTCAAGCACCCTACAAAGGACCCAACTTGCTTTGGCTTTCAATAGTCACCAAGTCTTGTGCCCAAAGGCAGCACTTCCCAAACAGCTCTCTGCATCCCAGAACGAGCCCCAGTCCATAAGCAATGCCCACATATTCCCACAACACAGTCAACATCTGCAGGTTCCCCAAGCGCTCCCAAAAGCAATCAATAAAGAGAAACCCAGGGGAAGAGGTCACTTCAGGACAGCGTGCATAGATGTGCTCCCCAGCTCCCCTCCTTTTTCCTGTGTTGCCATTTGCATTGTCCACATAAGATCATTCTCTTCTTTTACCTTTCCCTCTCTCACATGCACTCCCCTTGCTTTTTCCTTTTCTTCTTTTAATAAAAATGGCATGAGAAGCACGGCAGAAGATAATGAAGAGAATTCCTGCCTGGCTCTGCAGTTGGGAGAGAGGAGGGGTGAGATTCTGTAAACAAAAGGACGTCAAAAATCTGGGCTGTTTTTTCAGCTGTGGCCCAGTCTCAGGCTGTTTGGACAAGCCCAGCAACATGGCAGGTGCAAAGGCCTCAGAAGAAGTCTCTGCCCCTCTCCTGGCCAGCAAACTGACTCAGAAGACAAAAACACCTGGGGAGCAAACTTGGAGCAGACTCTCCCTCTGCCCACAACAGGGTCTCAATGGCAGCAGTGGGTTTGCTGTGTTCGCCTTGCTTCCAACAGGGGAATGGAATGAGAGCTCATGTGTGGGATGCGAAGGTGGGGATTGGAGGCTGGATTCCTGCTCCCAACACAGCTTAAGCCTGGACTGTGGTCTGACCAGGGAACTCAGGTGAACACTTTTGGGGTACGTTTTGTTCTAGGGGTGGCTTAGCTGCCTGAAGCCCTGCACACCATTCAGTGCCCAACTCAACACGACTGTATCAGGAAGGAATTTCTAGTGACACCTCCCATAACCACCGTGCACCGTACTGAAAGTGGTTGTGATTGAAGTCAGAGGCTGAAATCAAAGGTTGGGCAATCAAATATCTATTAGAAAGAGAAAAACATTTTTTGCTCCACGATATCCGTCCACATACAAAAGTTACCACCACCTCTCCCAGATATCACAAAACCCAAATGGTCCATTACTGTGTCGCTTGTGCACACTGGTGTAAGTGTGGAATGGCTTCAGAGACCTCAGTAACATACCCAGGCTCCAAACACAGCAGCCCTGCTGC